TTTGATGATTTGGGGGGGATTAGAGACTTAGGGTGGACTGGGAATTTGTGTTATAATGTTCTTGACATATATTTGGGTGGGAATTCGCTTGTTCGGGTGTTGTTTATGTTTAAAAGTCATAATAAGATGAGTTATACGTGATTCTTGCTTTTGATCCGTTAATTGCCTACGTGGTGTCGATAATTGCGTTTAAAAGTCTCTAAGCATGGTTTCGGGTTCCACAATGGATCCCGGGACGTAATTATGATAAAAGAGTCAGTGGGAGGTAATGGGGGTAGGGGAACCCGCCACCTACCCGCTGCCCAAAGATCACCGCCGGGCAGCTGCCTGCCCGCCGGCAACCCGCTGCCCGAACAGTGATCTTCGACGGGTAGCCGGCGGGTGACCCCCACCCACCGGCTACCCGCTGGTCCGTACCCACCCCGGGTCTTCGGCTCCCCCGTTTGATGTTTCCCGATCCCCCATGGTGTCCCAACGGACCTCGTTTGTCGTTCTTGAGTCTAGTTTGATATTTCGGGTGCCATTCGTAAGATAAAAGAGTCATAGGACTTGCATGCTAGTTGAATCGGTAACCCGTTGACCTAGGTGGAAGTTGTATGAACCCCGTAGGACTATTTTTAGTATGTGAATGATCACAAGTAAGTTTATTTATATGCCTTTCCCTCCCAATATGCTACTACGTGCTCCTATGTGTTATGTGATGCATGATCCCCCATTTTGGTTAAGATCAAATTGGATGTTCCCGGGCTAAGGTTCGGAAGTCGGCTGAAGGCCGAATGGATTGTTCCCGGACTATGGTTCGGAAGTTGGCTGAAGGCCGAATGGATTGTTCCTGAGCTGAGGTTCAGAAGTTGGCTAAGGCCGAATTGATTCACTTCTTGGGCTGAGGTCCACATGGGCGTCGGTGCTATGACCCACCGACCTGGACGCGCCGGGCGGTGTGTAGGGTCGTAGTCTCCGAGGATCTTCACCCACCGACTGAGTCACTCAGCGGTGTGTAGGGCTTGATCCGCTACGGTCCACCGACTGTACGCATCAACGGTGTGTAGGGTCGTAAGTCCCCCCTTGTAATGGGGATCACAGTCCACCGACTGTGCGCGTCAGCGGTGTGTAGGATTGTGGTCCGACGTTGAGTTCGTCAGCAGTTCTCAAAGGGTTGGTTGCGATCAACTCCCCTCATACCGCGGTACTGAGGTAGGGTGTTGCGGGGCCGTGTTAATGCTATAAGCATTAACCCTCTTGTTCGGGGCTTGCGATTGGTCCCGTGGTGCCATCAATAATTATGTGATATGAATGGTGTTTGGATAATGATGTGTTTGAATTGAAAAGTGATCTGTGACCTTAGATACGTATTCCTTATGATGCTCACTCTACTTAACTGTTTATCATTGATTAATGTGCCTGTCCATATCTGCTGAGTTTATTCCTGGTTTTAAAGCTAGAGTCTCTTAAGTATATATCTTCCTGCTTCAAAATGATTTTCGTATACCTATATATATCTATCTATAATGTATTTCAACGCGTTGGAGTGGGTTACCAGCAGCTCTCGCTGAACAGATATATTTGGTTTTCAGGCACAGATGAGTAGACCCCGGAGCGCACTAGAGATCCGAAACGTAGATTAGTTAGTTTTCCTTTCGGCCTGCGTGCCATGATTATGTATTGAGGATATTTAGTCAGTTTATCCTGTGCATCTGAGTTCTCCAACTCAGATGTGGCATAGCACCCCACACTCTTATGTTTAGTTTTGGGATTTAATGAGAATTTACCTTTTTTTTATAAGTTTCAAAAGTTTCAAAATTTCGGGGTGTTACACACGTGGTGTCATCGTTCGTGTTTAAAAGTGTCTAAACATGGTTTCAGGTTCCACAAAAGATCACGGGACTCAAATAATGAAAAGGAGTCAGTGGGGGGTAGGTGGGGGTAGGGGGACCCACCACTACCCGGTGCCCATTTTGGCGTCGCCAGCAGCGGGCACACGACTGCCCACCGGGCACCCGCTGCCCAGTTTCTTGCAGCCGGCGGGTGGTCCTCCACCCGCCGTCCACCCGCTGGTTTTCCCCACCTCGGGATGTTGGCTTCCCCGTTTGATGTCTCCCCGACCCTCGTGGTGTCCCAACGGGTTTCGTTTGTCGTGCCTAAGTTTAAGTTTGATGTTCCGGGTATCGTTCGTAGCATAAAAGAGTTTTTTGTATTGTATTCTAGTTGAATTGGTACCCCGTTGACCTAGGTGAAAGATGTACGAACCCCTTATGATTATTCCTAGTATGTGAATAACCACACATAAGTTTCGTTATACGTTTTCTCCCCTTTCCCAATATGTTATTGTGGATTGCATGTGCTTGCTATGTGTTATATGTGCATGACTCCCCAATATTTGTTGTGGTCAAATTGGTCTTACATGGGCTGCGGTCAACCGATTAGGCTCGCCAACGGTGTGTAGGGCTGCAGTCCACCGAAGGGGCCGTGGTCCACCAATTGGGCTTGTAACACCCCGTAATCCAAATTCAATTAAGGGATTAACTGTGTAATTAATCCTAAACAAATTGGTAATTTAATTCCTTAAATTCCTGAAAATTCAATAGTCGGGGACTAGTAATTGACTAGTCAACCCAAAAAGTCAAGGTTGTACCTTAAGCCTTGTGAGTAGTTCCCTTGTTCCCTTACACCTCTTCATTTTAGTAAGGGTATTCATGACATTTCACCTTGTGTTAGTAATGCAAGCTAACCTAGTAGACACTCCTCAGTCTTTCTCCTTACACTTTCCAAACTTGAGCTCTACCTTCTCTCTAAAAGTTAGATAGCTTTTCTTCCAAGCCAAGTTGGAGCTTTGTCAAATCTTCAAAGGTTGTCTCCAAGATTCTACATTTCATACATATGAGCATCTATGAGGGTAAGATCTATGTTCATTTTGTGTTTTTAGTGTTTTATAAGGTGTCATTTCTTAAAGATGGGATCTTTATGATCTTTTGGTGTGTTCTTGAAGTGGGTTTGGAAGGTGAGCCTTAGTAGGAGCTTGGTGAAGTGTTAAGTGAAGGTTTTTGTCTACAAGCGGTAACCCATGCTCTACAAAATCTTTTTTGCTTACCTATATGATGATTTCTTGGATTCTACATGTGATTTTGCTATGATATGTGAGTGTTTATGCATTGTCTTGTGAAAATGCATATCTAGAGCTTGTGTTTAGGGTTCATGTGTGCCATTCCTTGACTATTCCTTTGATTCAAGTCATTTTGTTGTATTTGGTGAGATTTGGCATGTTTTGGACTTGAATTTGACCTTGGTGTTGAAAATCCCTGAAAGGATTATTTTGGGAACAGGAGTGTACCCGCGGGCGGAACGGCGGGCAGTGGCCTACCCGCCGCCCCACCCGCGGGGAACATATGGCTTGTGGGTGTGTACCCGCGGGCGGAACCACGGGTGGGGGTCTACCCGCTGGGAACATGATGAGGTTGTCGGGGGATTTGTTCCCCGTGATCCTATTGACCAGGTATTTGGTCTTTTGACTTCCCGATGTTCTTTTGTGGAACTATTTGAGCGTCTTCTTGATGTTTCATATGTCTAGAACTATATGGTAGGAACCAATGTAGGTTTGGGTGTCTTGAATCGTGCTAAGTGTTCAATATTGTGTTTCGTTGAACCAAGATGAGTCTTTTGTGTTCTTCGGAACTACGTTTGGTTTACCCGTTTGATAAGCATGCTAGTTCGGTGTTTAAATGCTAGCGTGTGTGTTGTTGGGTGATATTCATCATTGTTGTTGGACTGTGATCCATTCGTTGATTGAGTATGGTTTCATATCTTCGTTGTGATCCGTTGATTGATTCCTATGACGGTGTTGTGTGTGTGGCTGTACCTGGATTACACGATTAATGGTATGGGGAATTAGTCACCAAGGTATGGTAGTGCTCCTCGTGGTGGCCATGACGTGATTATGGATTTTGTGACCTGTGTGTCGGGTTCACGTATTTATTGGGAGGCGTGTGTCGCCGTGTGTGTGATCCGTATCTTGTGTACTATGAATTGGTGGTGTTGTTGGTGGTTTGTTGGTGGGGGACGACGGTCCCAGGAGGGAAAAGGTTGGACTCAGAAGTACAGGGGTCTTGGAGGTAATGGTTGGAACTAGATATAAGGTTGGGGGTAGCCATAAGGTTAGAACCGGGCATAAGGATGGCATATCAATTCGTGATGGCTGATGTCACGATGGCTTGTGTAGCCGTTGTTGTGAGTTTCTCTTCTTGTGATGTGTGTAGTCACAAAGGCATGTGTTGCCTAGGCATGTTTTGCCATTGGTTGTGTCCTCATTCTCTTGTGTTATGCATGTCGCGTGTTAATCTACTGGGTGATGGTAGATTATACCTTGAGCCGTTCTTGTGAATCGTTGTATCTCGTGTGGTCTTGGGATGTGTTCCCTTATCTTGTTGTGAGTGCTTAGAGTCTTGTGTTGACTTCTGCTCTTGGTTTTGAACATATATATGTATATTCCGTTTCGCAAATGATTTTACATACATATATCCTATCTATGTATGATATTTCACATGTATTGGTGGGTTACCAGCATTATTCGCTGACCGGGCGTCGTCCCATATTTTATGTGTTTCTTTCAGGTGATGTATAGGCGTGAGCGCGGTCTAGAACCTGCTAGTGTAGTTCCCATGTTTGAGTTGTTATGGCCTGTGTGCCAAGGATAGACTTTAGTACATTGGTTATGCATGGATTTTAGATTATGAATCATGCAGATGTTAGCCTGTGTATTCACCTCTGGATGAGCGTGGCATAGCAGCCTCTCATTTCCAGTTTATATAATCCTTTTTCAGTCGTCCGCTGTGTTTGATGTTTTGATTTGTTATCTGCATGTTTAAGGCTTAAATTAACATGGAAATTAGGGGGTGTTACAGTTGGTATCAGAGCCTAGGTTTGAGCCTAGGTTTGAGCGTTGTTTATAGTTGTTTGCATGTTTGTTGTCTTTTTGGTAACCGTGTTGTTGTTGTAGAAGCTTTGCGATGCCTCCTCGTCCACGTGCGCGTACCCCGACGAATGAGCAGCTTGCCCAGAACCTACAGCAGTTGATGCAGACGATGCAGACTCTTAGCGAGGCGTTGCTGAACAACAACCATCCCGTGGCACGTCCTCAATCTGCTGGGCACAGGGACATGGGTCGTTTGGTGTCAGGTCACAGACCACCGAATTTCGCGGGTGATGAAGACCCGGTAGTTTTGGAGGAATGGATGAGAGTGTTCGATAACATCTTATCGGTGGTGGGTTGTCCCGAGGAGCGGAGGGTAGAACTGGAAACGTTCTATTTCTGTCATGAGGCTGATCTGTGGTGGATTCATGAAGGTTCGGCCTACCTTGAGGAGCCTGGGTTCGATTGGTCTGCGCTTAAGGATAGGATGCGCGAGAGGTTTTATCCGGCACACGTGCGAGCTGCGATGTACGAGGAATTCCTCCATCTACAACAAGGATCTCTGTCAGTGGTCGAGTACCTCAAGAAGTTTATTGAGTTAGCGCGTTTCGCTCGGATTCTTGTGCCTTCAGAGCTCACCAAGGTTGAGAAATTCGTTACTGGCTTGAATTATGAGGCACGAAAGACCTTGACCGTGAGTAGGCCGAGTTCTTTGAAGGATGCATATCTGAGTGTTGCGGATCTGTACCGTGTTCAGCAGCTTCAACAAGGGTCTTATGAGCTTGCTAGAAAGAGGACCGAGAGTGGAGGCCCTTCCAGCTTCAAGAAGCCTAAGCCAAGTTTTCAAGCTACGAATGCATCATCTCCAACCCAAGGACCCAACCGGATGGAGCAAGGAAATCAAGCCAAGGTGTTCCCTTTTTGTAGATATAGGAAGGTGCATGTGGGACAAGATTGTCATGGCCAGACGTTTAAGTGCTTTCGTTGCGGAGATAGGGGTCACAAGGTCGTCGAGTGTCCCCAGCAAGCCAATTAGAGGTTGTTGCCACCACCCTCAGGAGCCGGAGGAGCCGCAGGAGGTAGCTTGAGCCGTGGAGCAGCCGGTGCCAGGCCATCGGGGAGAGTCTTCGTGATGGGGCGTTCGCAGGCGGAGACCGAGGGCCTAGTGGAGGAGGAGCTAGTAGGTAATCCCTTTCCAGCCTACCCTTATCTTTAGAACGCATCTTGTTCCTTGTTGTCTTGTGTGTTGTCTTGTGTTTCTTCGTCGTCTACTTGAGTTGCTTTGCTATCCTTGCCATGATTTTCCCATAATAAATGATTCTTTTGGATTTAAGTGTAAGCCTTTCTTGATGAATGATTCTCTTAGTTTTATGAGCAAGCTTCGTCGTGGAATTAGTTGTTTATTCTTGAATGAGTCATGTTTGAGTTAATTCCATAACCTTTGCACTCGGATATTCTTGCAACCCTTTCTTTTTGAGAACCACCTAAATTTCTCCAAGTATTCTTTGAATTTGGGAATAGGAAATCTATAGAAAACCCTTTCTCCAAGGTGCATGTGAGAAAAAGTGATTGTCCGCGGAGCAAAGGATCTTGGTTATGCTGGTAGGATCTTGGTTATGCTGGTATCAGATTGTTTGTTGCCCAATAACAACAAAAGTCAGTTGTTGGGAAAGCTGGAGTGCACATTTGATTTCTGTCTCAAGAATTGGTCAAGTTCAATCTGCCGGCTTTGATATTGCAACATATGGTTTTCTGCCGTGATCACAACCGAAAGAGCCTACCGTATCGGATGGTGTTGAGCTGGATTCTTGTCAGAAAGGGGGTAAGTGTGGATGGTTGTATACCGAAGCCCGTGGGAAAGATGGTGTTGGATGCCACCAATCTTCGAAGTTGCAACTTGTTTCAGTTGGATGATGGTGATTACATCACTCTCGAGGAAGTTGCAAGGAAATCCCCCGAAGAAAGAGCCGAGTTGGCAGCTGAGCTTGAGATTCATGCTGGAAAGTTAAACCTCGCAGTCCAGAGTTTGGGAGGTGATGAAGAAGATGAGGGTGAAGCGGGCCATGAGGAAGAAGTGGAAGCACCGGAAGCTGCCGAGGCCGAGGAAAGTGATTCGGAAAGCGAAGAAAACCAAAGAAGGAGGGAATTGTGACACCCCAAAAATCCAAATTCAAGCCATGGATTAATTGAATAATTAATCCTATTTTATTTAGAGAATTAATTCCTAAAATCCTGATTTTTAATACTCAAGGACTAGTATTTGACTAGTCAACCTTAAAGTTGTGTTGTACCTTGAGCTTTGAGGGGAGTTCCCTTGTTCCTTACACTTTCTAAAGGTTAGTAAGGGTATTCTTGTCTTTTCACCAAGAGTTAGTATTGTAACCTAACAAAGAAGACTTCTTCATTTCATTCCTTACATTTCCTAGAAATTAGCACTACCTTCTCTCTAGAAAAGAAGTGTAGCTTATTCTCCAAGCTAAGTTGAGACCCTTGTCAAGATTCCAAGATTTGCTTCTAAGATTCAACCTTTCACCTATTTGGGCATCTAAGAGGGTAAGATCTAAGTTCATCTTGTGTTTTCGGTTCCATCTTAGTTGTCTTTTTCTTAAAGGTAGGATCTTTATGATCTTTTGGTTTAATCTTGAAGTGGGTTTGGAATGTAAGCCTTGTGGGGAGCTTGTTGTGGTGTAAAGTGAAGTCTTTTGGTCTATAAGAGGTAATCCATGCTCTACAAAACCTATTTTGCTTACCTATATGTGATTTCTTGGATTTTACTTGTGTTTTGCTATGAAATGTGAGGGTTTATGCATTTGTCTTGTGATATTGCATATCTAGAGCTTGTGTTTAGGGTTCCTTTGTGCCATTGCTTGGCATTTTCCATGGTTCAAGTCATTTTGTTGTATTGGGTGAGATTTGGCATGTTTTGGATTTGAATTTGTGCTTGGAGACAAAAATCTTCGAAGTGTGTTGTTGTGGTACAGGATTGTACCCGCGGGCGGAACGACGGGCGGGGCACCACCCGTCGCCCTACCCGCGGGTAAGAGCCTTGTGGGAGTGTGTTCCCGCGAGCGGAACCACGGGTGGGGCGCTACCCGTGGGTCCACCCGCGGGTACACAAGCGGTGTTGTGATGGGCTTTGTTCCCCGTGATTCTTTTGACTCGGTATTTGGTCCTTTGACTTCCCGATGTTCTTTTGTGGAACTATTTGAGTGTCTTCTTGATGTTTCGTATGTCTAGAACTATATGGTAGGTATCCATGTAGGACTTTGGTGTCTTGAATCGTGCTAAGAGTTCAACATTGTGTTTCGTTGGACCAAGAGGTGTCTTGTGTGTTCCTCAGAACTATCTTGAGTTTCTCCGTTGTTAAGCATGGTAGTTTATTGTCTTAATGCTAGAGTGTGTGCGGTTTGTACCTTCTGTTTGGTTGATGATAACTTGTGTTATTCATCGTTGATGTTGTTGGGCTGTGACCCATTCCTTGATTGAGTATGTTTCATACCTTCGTTGTGATCCGTTGTTTAACTCTTGTTGAGTTGTGGTGCGTGTGTGGCTTTACCTGGATTGAACGATTAGTGGTATGGGACACTAGTCACCAAGGTATTGCAGCGGTCCTCGTGGTGGCCGTGACGTGATTATGGAGTTGTGGCCTTTGTCTAAGGTTCACGTGTTTGGGGGATAACATGTGTTATCCGGGCATGTGTTGTCGTGTATGGTACCTTGTTTACTATGAATTAGTGGTCTTGTTGGTGGTTTGTTAGTGGGGGACGAAGGTCCCAAGAGGGAAAGGGTTTGACTAAGAAGTACAGGGGTCCTGGAGGTAATGGTTGGAAAGAAGAAACAAGGTTGGGGGTAGCCATAAGGTTGGAACAGGGCATAAGGAAGGCATACCAACTCGTGATGGGTGATATTGCGAGGGCTTGTGTAGCCGGTGTTGTGTATTCTTCTCTCGTGACGTGTGTAGTCACGGAGGCATGTGTTGCTTTGGCAAGTTTTGCCGTTGGGTGAGTCTTATTCCTTTGCGTTGTGGTCAACCTTTGTGGTTTGAGATGTGTTCCCGTGTTATCTTTGAGAGTGATGAGTCTTGTGTTGGCCGTTGTTCTTGGCTTTTGACTTATATACTTATGTATTCTGTTTTGAAAATGGTTTTACAACTTATATCTATCTATATATGATACTTAACGGTATTGGTGGGTTACCAGCAATTATCGCTGACCGGGCGTCGTCCCAATGTTTATCTTTGTATCTTTCAGGTGATGTTTAGACGAGCGCGATGTCTAGTGCCTGGTAGCTTAGTACCTTGATCCTTGTTTTGTGGCCTGTGCGCCAATGTAGTTTTAGATTGATGTTTTTGGGATAGATGTATACACTTGCAGATTTTTTGCCGTTGCATTTACCGTGTTTGGTAGACGTGGTGTGAAACCCCGTTCGGATTTCTTTTATCCAGTTTTCGTTTTATCTTCCGCTGTGTTAGTTTTGTTGTTTAATCTGCATCTGTTAAGGCTTTTATATAGGTCTTGTTTGGGGGGTGTTACAGTTGGTATCAGAGCCTTGGTTTTGAGCCTAGGAAGGGTTAAGTCTAGACTCTCTAAGTGGTTAAGTGTGTTTTGAGACCTCTAGGCGACCTTAAGAAGCTAAGTGTTAGGCTTAGGACTCTAGGTTGCGCGGTGAGCTGTGTGTTGCTTTCTGTTCTTGCTTGTTTGCTCTCTTTTGGGTAACCTCGTTGTCGTTGTAGAAGTTTGCGATGCCTCCTCGTCCTCGCGCTCGCACCCCGGAGACCCCGACGAACAAGCAGCTCGCTCAGAATCTCCATCAGCTGACGCAGATGATGCAGATGCTCAGTGAAGCCTTGCTGAACAACAATCAAGCTGTGTCGCCTCCTCCCCCTGCTGAGCACCGAGATGTAGGTCGTCTAGTGTCGGGACATCGGCCGCCAACCTTCGCCGGCGAAGAAGACCCGGTAGTCTTGGAAGAGTGGCTACGGGTGTTTGATAAGATCTTCACCATTGTGGGTTGCCCCGAGGAGAGAAGAGTAGAACTGGCAACGTTCTACTTCTGCCAAGAAGCTGATCTGTGGTGGGTCCACGAAGGTCCGACCTTCCTTGAAGAGCCTGGGTTTGATTGGACCGCGCTGAAGGACAGAATGCGCGAGAGGTTCTACCCAGCGCATGTGTGAGCCGCCATGTTTGATGAGTTCCTTCATCTGCAGCAAGGATCGTTATCTGTGGTCGAGTACCACAAGAAGTTCTTGGAGTTGGCGCGCTTTGCGAGGATGCTTGTTCCTACGGAGCTTACTAAGGTAGAGCGTTTCGTTGCCAGTCTGAATTATGAGGCACGAAAAGCGTTGACGGTGAGTAAGCCAAGTTCCCTTAAGGATGCGTATCTGAGTGCCGCGGATCTGTATCTCATGCAGCAGCTTCAGAGGGGTTCGTTTGAGCTAGCTAGGAAGAGGGTTGAGAGCGGAGGTTCTTACACCTTCAAGAAGCCCCGACCGAGTTTTCCAGCCAGGGCAGTGTCATCTTCTTCTCAAGGACCTATCAGGGTGGAGCATCGGGATCAAGCTAAGTCGGTTGTTTGTCGAAGATGTGGGAAGGTGCACGTAGGCCAAGGTTGCCATGGCCAAGCGTTTAGGTGTTTCTGATGCGGGGATCGTGGTCACAAAGTCGCGGAGTGTCCCCAGCTTGCCAGTCAGAGAGCGTTGGCGCCTCCCCCGAGAGCCGGAGGAGCATCGGGAGGGAGTTCTGGTCGCGGAGCAGTCGGAGCTAGGCCACCTGGAAAGGTTTTCGTGATGGCGCATTCTCAGGCTGAGTCGGAGGGCTTGATGGAGGATGAAGTGGCAGGTAACCCCTTTCTTCTAGCCTATCCTTGTTTCTTTTTCCAAAATCATCATGTTCGTTGTTGTCTTGAGTGTTACCTTGTGCCTCTTAGTTGTCTTTTGCTTGGCAATCTTTGGTATGCTTTCTCTTGATAGCAATTCTTTTGAGGCTTAGTGTAGACTCTTCTTGCTAAGTGATTCCTTTAGTTTGGTATATAAGCTTC